CCGTGCACTTAACCCCTACACCAAACTGGCTCTCGAAGGATGGGGTAGAAATCCAATCTCCTCCTCCTCTTCTTCCTCTTCTCCTCCTCCTCCTCCTCCTCTCTCTGATCTCTGCAGTCTGCAGATCTGTTGTGATTCCGGGAGATCGCCAGTTCTCGCCTGCAGGTTGGCAACCCTCTTACCTCTTTAGAAAGGCGCACGCCAGAATTGCAGGCGCCGTGGCTGAACAATCTCTGCAGTCTGCAGATCTGTTGTGATTCCGGGAGATCGCCAGTTCTCGCCTGCAGGTTGGCAACCCTCTTACCTCTTTAGAAAGGCGCACGCCAGAATTGCAGGCGCCGTGGCTGAACAGAGCGTTCGGATTGCCTGTGAGGGAAGTGGGGCTGAGAGAGCTCTGCCAGAAACTGCTCTTTTCCAAGGACAGCTCTTATCAGAATTACGGCTTGCCCTAGGTCATCCAGCCAGGTGCGAGTGGAGTGGGGAATCAAACCCGGTCTTCCCAGATTAGAGTCCGTGCACTTAACCCCTACACCAAACTGGCTCTCGAAGGATGGGGTAGAAATCCAATCTCCTCCTCCTCTTCTTCCTCTTCTCCTCCTCCTCCTCCTCCTCTCTCTGATCTCTGCAGTCTGCAGATCTGTTGTGATTCCGGGAGATCGCCAGTTCTCGCCTGCAGGTTGGCAACCCTCTTACCTCTTTAGAAAGGCGCACGCCAGAATTGCAGGCGCCGTGGCTGAACAGAGCGTTCGGAAAAAACCAAACCTGTCTTCCCAGGGAACATTCGCCACGGCTGTAACACAGTGTTCTAACCCCCTTCCTCACTTTGCCCAGCCGATGATCACGTTTCTGCCTAATGGGATCTGAGGCTCTCAGCCATGTGCCGTAAAAAGCCTTGCAGAGAGACCAGTCAGGAATGCAGTTGGAAGAGAAAGGAGACCGTCTGTCTGGAGCCGCTGCAACAATTACTCCCTCTTGCGTTAGGAAGCGATGCAAGGCCTTGTTCCTTCTTCAGACCTCTCTCGTGCACTTCTCCAGGTTTTAAAAAGCCAGGTTTCTGGGACGGGCCGTTGATGCACATTGCTTGTGCTAATTTCCCTCCACGATGCATGCTCATGCCATGGTTCAAAGGCGTTCTCTTAAGGACAGCCAGCATGGCCAGGGTCCGGCTTACCTGAAGGACCGTCTCTTCCCGTATGTTCCCTCAAGAGCGGGGAAGCTCCATCTCCTGGGAGTGCCAGGTCCCCGAAAGATTAAGTTTGCCTCTACTAGGGCCAGGGCTTTTTCGGTGGTGGCTCCTACCTGGTGGAATGAGCTCCTAGAGGAGATCCAGGCCCTGCGGGACCTTATGCAGCTCCGCAGGGCCTGCAAGACAGAGCTCTTCCGCCAGGCGTTCGAGTAGGAGCCGCCACCGCCACTATTCTACCAACGAGGTGGCAAGTCATCAGCTGCCCTATAAGAACGGGGGCAAGCGGGCCCTGGCAGAAGCTTGAGACAGTGTAGTGGGAGACCACGCTACTGAGACAGCTGGCCACCAAACCTGGGGGGTTGTCCCCGTCTTGGATGATTAATATAGGTATAGCACCGTATTATTGGAAGGTTTATTGTGATTTAAAATGTTCTATTTATTATATACTGTATTGTATTTTGCACTCAGCTTTGCCGCATGTGAGCCGCCCTGAGCCTCTGGGAGGGCAATATAGAAATCAAACTAATAAGTAAATAAATAAATAAATAAATGGTGCAGCGGTTGTCAGATCTGGGAGGCCCAGGTTCGAATCCCCACTCCGCCATGGAAGCTCGCTGGGTGACCTTGGGCCAGTCACATAACTCTGCCCAACCTACCTCGCAGGATTGTGTTGTGAGGATGAAACGGAGAAGGGGAGAATGTGTAAGCCATGCTCCCTCTAAGCCGTGGAGTCTTGTGAGCAAAGAAAATCTACTTTTTGTGAGCAGCTGGCATTAAAGTTGCGAGCGAGCAACCTGGCTACCGCATACATTAGTTTGCTCCGGAGCCATCCTTCCTGAGCTAAGACCAAAGATCTGTGAGCTGGAGGCTAAAAAAAATGGTGAGCTAGCTCACACTAACTTGGCTTAGAGGGAACAGTGGTTGTAAGCCACGTGGGGCTCCCCATTGTGAAAAGAATTGGGATACACGTGAAGCCAAAGAAAACAAGAGGCCTGGACGGTGCCGAGGCTGAGCTGAGTGCGCCTCCACATCCTGGAATCGTGGCATCGTACAGGGGTACGTCAGCAGGCCAGTCCACACCGAAACGTTTTTTAGAACAAAGGCAGAAAGTTCACAGGGCGAGGACTCTATGTAGGGTTGCCAGGCCTGGGTTGGAAAATACCTGGACACTTTGGGGATGGATCGAGAAGACGGCGGGGTTTGGGGAGGGGCCTCAGCATGGTACAGTGGAGTCTACCCTCCAAAGCAGCCGTTTTCTCCAGGGGAGCTGATCTCTGTCAGCTGGAGATCAATAGTAAAAGTGGGAGATCTCCAGGCCCCACCAGGAGGCTGGGAACCCTAATCATTAGCCACCCGTCATAAGGAACGGAGGGACATAAATGTTTTGATAAATAAGATGACCTGTGCAAGAGAGCGCACGCCAGTGAATATCATTGTGAGGGGTGCCAACCTCCAGGTGGTAGCTGGAGATCTCCTGGGACTAGAGATGTAAAATTTCCGGAAATTTTTAAGCTCGGGGAAAAACGGAAATTTTCGGAAAAATTGAAAAAAATGCTACATTAGCATTTCTTTTGTCTTTTCTAAATTGAAAGTCATTCTGTTACTTTAGGAACATAAAATATAACTATGGACATTTTTACTTGGCATGAAATTATCACAACTAGCCTATTAAAAATATAGTGTATCCAAACAATTATTACAAACAGGATACCCACCCACATGCAAAAACAAAACTGAAACCTTTTTCTTTTCTTCTGACAATTGCACCTCCTAAAGGAAGAAATGCATCTTGTTCTTGCATTGGAAAGTTCAGTTTGTAACCTAGGACTTGCTTGTCCTCAATGCACAGAAATTAGATCAATCTGATACCATATATACATATATATTAGAAATGACAAGGGGCGGGACCCGCGATACTCGCGGGGGGGAGGGACCTCCACACTTATGAGGCAGAGGAGGAAGCAGCAGCAGGAGGTAAGTTCCCTCCATCCCGCCGGTTCCCCCCATCTCCTCCACCCCCTCCGCCACCCCCTCGCTCCACCCACTTCTCCACGCCCTCCCTAACTCTTGGGCCTCACTGCTCTCTCCCCCCCCCCTCTGAAGTGGTGGTGGCGGTGGTGAGGGAGTTCGCAGAGCGTTCCCTGCGCATGCGCAGGGGACGCTCTGTCACTTTTGGGGGGATTTAAGTACCCCCCCGATATTTTTTCTGGGTTTTTAGATTTTTGTGCACACCTGGGGACTGCCCCAAGTGTGCAAGAAAATCTCCCTCCCCCCCAGGTGCCCCCGATGTGCGGAAATAAGTATCCGCACGCAAGGGGGCACCTTCGCTATTAGATATATAGATTTGGAAAATATTTGAACACCTTGTCTTAAAATATTTTATGCGTCATGTTAAAATAAAATGTTCCATAATCAATTATTTTCTTTTCTTTTTTCAATTTTTCCAATTTTTCAGAAAAAAACAAAAAGGCTTCAGGAAAAAAACGGGGGGGGGAAACGGTTTTTTTCCCGTTTTTCCCTGGGCCTTTACATCTCTACCTGGGACTACAATTGGATCTCCAGGTGACATATATCAGTTCACCGGGAGAAAATGGCCCCTTTACAAGGTGGACTCTATGGCATGATACCCCATTGAAGTCCCGCTCCTGCTCAATCCCCACCCTCAAACCCCCCCAAATCTCCAGGAATTTCCCAACCCGGAGCTGGCAACCCTATACGCCTTTTCCTTTTACCTATGCCTTTTCCTTTACCAGGCTCTGCAGCTCTGACAGGTAAAGCCAGCAGTTCACCAGCTGCAGATCTCCTTGCTGTGCAGCTGCAGCAGGCAGGGCCATTACCATCATGAAAAGAGAGGGCAGGAAGGGCTGCCTCAGTGCTTAGTTCTTGTGACCCTTTCTTACACTCCCAGGGAAATGCAGCCACTTTGGGGGCAGGAAGCCATTTTTCTCCAAGCCAGTTGGGCTGGAGATCCTGGAGGCTTTTTGCCTTAGCAGAGGTCACTGGGGTGTGGGGGGGGGAGGTATCTGTGAATTTCCTGCCTTGTGCAGGGGGTTGGACTAGTTGGCCCTGGAGGTCCCTTCCAACTCGACTCTATTAATTCTTCTTATTTTGCAACATGCACTTTTTAGCAGGAAGGCAGGAGTTTGGGCTGCTGGCCGTAAGGGGCAGTGGTTAGAGCCGGACAGTTGGATTCCTCCGCACCAGGGAAGCGCAGGTTAATTATTCCCTTTGCAATGCAAGGGGCGGGAAATTGCTCTTGGCTGCACACGCCTGATACTTTACTATAGCAATAGTGCCTCTGAGAACGTGCAGAGTCCCGCCGAAGGAACCCAGCCTCGGCATCAGCCACACCCGGACTCCAACAGAGGGGCGTACACTTTGCCACTCGCGTCCCCCAATCAGCGCCAGGTATTCCTCAGACGAGGCTGTCCTTCACGCGCGCGAATCAGAGAAGGCGACGCCCACAGGAGAACGTCAGACCGACGTTCCTTGAGCCACTCAAAATTAAGTATTTGGAACGAGGGCGCGAGAAAGGAGCGAAACATCCAATCACAGTGAGCCGGGGCGGGAACGCGGTATCGTATTGGAAGCCCAACGTTGACTGACACAAGGGGGAAACCACTCCGACGCAGCTCCTGTTGCTATGGCGACGGGAAAGAAGGACGGGACGAAGGCCCGGCGGAGGCGGAACCCAAATGGATTCGGCGCATGCGCAGAGCGCGAAGGTTCCCCTTCGTCTCGGCACGGCGGCGTGCGGCGTGGCCCCTCGCGTCTGGAAACGCACGCCCCGGAAGCGGAAACCAGAAGCCGGTGTCTCAGGAGGAGAAAAAGAAGGAGCCGGCAAGGTAACCCGTCAAGGGGAGGATATGAAGTAGTATCCGAAACTCGGCGTGGGAGGTCAAAGGTCATACTGGAAGAGTCTAAGGGGGGGCGCAAATGGGACGGCAAAGGTCACGCCAAGGTTATTGGGGAGTCGGGAGGGTCTTCTGTTTTTAAAATTTATTTAATTTTACTTTATATAAAGGTTCCCTTGCTCGAAAGCCAGTCGAGTCCGACTCCGTTTCCAAGCCGAAGAGCCAGCGCTGTCCGAAGACGCTTCCATGGTCATGTGGCCGGCATGACTAAACACCCAGGCGCACGGAACGCTGTTACCTTCCCACCGAAGTGGTCCCTATTTATCTACTTGCAATCTCTTGCTTTCGAACTGCTAGGTTGGCAGGAGCTGGAACTAGAGACGGGAGCTCACTCCGTCGTGCGGCACACTCGGGTCTCGAACTGCTGAACTACCGACCTTCCACAGCCTGCAGTTCAGCGTCTTAACCACTTGAGCCACCACAGCTCCCTATCAGGTAGAATATTCAACAGCAAAGTGTCTGGTGTAAATGAGGAGTCTTCAGCCACACTGGATGAGCTCAGGCTGTTCAGACTAGCCCACGACACCGGGGAGGGCAAGCCGTTTACTTCAACTGACCTCTGGTCTGGAGATCAGTTGTCATTCCAGGAGCTCTCCCTGGAAGGTCGATCAAGACAGGTAGCCGTGTCAGTGTATCTGTACGGACTGTACAGTCTGTATAGATCTCTACACCTGGAAGTCGATAACTCTGATTTTGGGGCTGGCTCCCAGCTCCCCAGAAACCTTGTCAAGGCCTGCCCTAGCAAGCACATCACTGATCGCCGGCCAAGATGAACTCGGAAGCTCCTAGCGTGCCAAGGAAGAGCAGTTTGCCCAACTGCCGTTCCTTTGCCAAAACCTGAAGGGGCTGTTTTCTCCTCTCTCTCTTCATTGGCAGGCATGCCTTCCCACCGGCTGCGCCGTGATGTTGTACATACTAGATTCCATGGAAAAAAATGAAGTCAAATGAGGAGGAAGATCTATGTTTTGTTTCAATTAACAGAAAAACAATGGGACCAAATAGTCCATCCAAAATTGACTACTTTCTTCTCAGCATATTCAGGAAATATGCTTCAATGAACAGGAAAACAATTAGACCAAATAGTCCATCCAAAATTGACAACTTTCTTCTTTTTCTTCTTCATCTTCTCCTTGAACCTATTCTGAACATATTCAGGAATTCCATGATATTTTATACATGAACTGAGTGTTCCCTCTAAGCTGAGTTAGTGTGAGCTAGCTCACAGTTTTTTAGCCTCCGGCTCACAAATTTCTGTCTTAGCTCACGAAGGATGGCTCCAGAGCAAACTAATTTATGCAGTGTCCAAATCGCTCGCTCACAACTTTAATGCCAGTTGCTCACAAAGGAGAATTTTTGCTCAGAAAACAACGCAGCTTAGAGGGAACATTGGAACTGACATCATCAAGAAAACAATATTCAAACAGCATAATTGGTTACAAAAGACAGTGGTAATTTGAGTAATAATCCTCTGATCGGCCAGATAAAAAGAAACATACATCTACGTCAAACTAAGTGTTTACTTAACCTAACCTAAATGATAATGGGCAAGGATTCTTCATATCCCAAACAAAAGTATTCATTATTGATACGAGACTAAAATCTTATCTGACCCAGACATTGAAAGGTTTTCCCTAAGAACTACAGAATCATTGAACTTTGTACCTATTATGTTGTCTGCTAACAATATCAGACCTACAAGAGGAAAGCCTTCTATATAACAGGCCTTTCTAACATCCTAATAAAATATTACTTAAAGAATAAATCTATAAAAACCAGAGAAATATGAATATGCACAATCAAGAAGAAGAAAAAACCCACATATATAAAAATCTTTATATTCCCATTCATACTACAGTGACTAGCTGGAAAAGCAGCTGAAGCTCGTTCCCCCAGAGTCTGCTGCTCCAAAGTCTTCACGATGCATCTCGTGCTCAGGAGCTGCGGTCGGACGGCGGCTAGGCTGGCCTGCCGGGCGGCCCCCAGACGTGGACCTCAAGCACTGGCATGCCAGAGGGCCTGGCTGGGTTCCACCCTTTCGCCAGCCTCCAGCACCACAGTGAGTATGGGGAGGGACGTTGTCCAGAGCTGTGAAATAGGGCTGTATTTTGTCGGAGGCGAGGGGTTCTTGAGTGGTTGAGGACAGCGATGGGTACTATCTGGTCCTGCACTACCTTTCCCTTTCTTTTTTTAAAATTTTATTGAACAATGTAACAATATTACAAACTGACAATAGGATGGCGTGCAATCTACAAAGAACAGCAAGAGATAAATACAAACAAAGCTCCAAATATCACATCTTAACAGATATAAACTAGCATTAGAACCTTCAATATAGCATGAAGAGGAATCATGACAATTCATTCAGTGTGAGCAGAGGGGAGAGATTTGATTCTTGTCTAGGACGTGATGACTGTTTGAGATGCCTGACCAACGCTTGTGTAATCAAAAGCACAGATATAGAATGGGAGGGACTCGGCTTGACAGCAGCACATGTGAAAGCGATCCGGGTGTTCTGGTTGATCACAAGCTAAACATGAGCCTGCAGTGCGATGTGGCTGTGAAGAAAGCTAATGCAGTCTTAGGATGCATTAACAGAAGCATTGTGCCCAGATCACGGGAGGTGTTATTTCTGCTCTATTCTGCCATGGTCAGGCCTCACCTGGAGTACTGTGTCCAGTTCTGGGCACCACATTTTAGGAAGGATGTTGACAAGCTCGAGCGTGTCCAGAAGAGGGCAACCAGGATGGTGAATGGGTTGGAATCCAAATCTTATGAGGAAAGGCTGAAAGAGTTGGGTCTGTTTAGCCTGGGAAAGAGAAGGCTTAGAGGGGACATGATTGCAGTCTTCAAGTATCTGAAGGGCTGTCATGTAGAAGATGGAGCAGATCTATTCTCTCTTGCTCCGGGTTGCAAGACTACATCTAATGGGTGGAATTTACAAGGGAGTTGATACCAGCTAAATATCAGGAGAAACTTCCTAACTGTAAGAGTGGTTGAGCAGTGGAACGCACTGCCTCAGGAAGTGGTGGATGTTCCTTCACTGGACGTTTTCAAGCGGAGGCTGGACACCCATCTTTCGGGTATGTTGTAGGGCTATCTTTCAGCTATGCTCCTGCAGAGTGCAGGGGGTTGGACTAGATGACCTGCAAGGTACCTTCCAACTCTCACATTCTATGATTCTATGAAGGGGCTGGGCTGATTTGAGGGACCTCTAGACTTATCTAAATTGTTTGTAACCTTGTCCAGAATGAATACATCCCACAATTTTAGGAACCATTCTTGCCACGATGGAATTGATGTTGATTTCCAGTGTGAAGCAATTACACATTTAGTAGCAATCAACACTAACATAATAGCTTGGGAACATTGCAAGGATCCCATAAATTGAGAAGGTACAGTTCAGGGGTTTTGGGAATCCAATAACCAGTAATCTTATGAATTTGGTCTTGTATTTGGATCCAAAATTTACAAATCACTTCACAAGACCACCAGCCATGGAAATAAGTCCCTTTCTCACCACACTGTCTCCCTTTCCCCCCTCCTTTTCCCCTCTGTTGTTGTTCAGTCGCACAGTTGAGTCCGACTCTTCGTGACCCCACGGAACACATGCCAGGCCCTCCTGTCTTCCGTCGTGCTCCGGAGTTTGCTTAACTTTATGTTCGTTGCATCGATAACACTGTCTGGCCATCTCATCCTTTGCCGTCCCCTTCTTCTTTTCCCTTCAATCTTTTCTCCACTGATTGCTCCCTTCTCATTTGGTGGCCAAAGTATTTGAGCTTCAGCTTCAGTATCTGGCCTTCCAGGGAACAGTCAGGGTTGATTTCTTCTGGGATTGACTGATTTGATCTCCTGGCAGTCCAAGGGACTCTCCAGAGTCTTCTCCAGCACTGTAATTCCAAAGCATCCAGGGCTATTTTTGGGCAGGAACGCACAGGAACGGAGTTCCGGCTGGCTCCTGAGTTGGCCACGCCCAGCAGGAACTCATTAGCATAATAGGGCATGCCCAACAGCAGAAACTCATTAGGATTGGCTACATTCGGTGTGTGTGGTCTAACATGCAAAGGGTTCCTGCTACAAAAAAAGGCCCTGGGTTTTGACAACAAACAAGGTAAACAGAATAAGAGGCAAAAGGTGGGTGTGGCTGGATGACCACACTTCTGGTGACATGGGGGTGTGGCCTAATATGCTAATGTGCTGTGCTGTCAGGGTGTGGCCTACTATGCTAATGAGTTTCTGCTGTTGGGTGTGGCCTGTTATGCTAATGAGATCCTGCTGGGCTTTTTCTACAAAAAAAGCCCTGAAAGCATCTATTATTCGGCGCTCAGTCTTCCTTATAGTCCAACTCTCGCAGCCATACATGACTATTTCCCTCCCTACATTCCCCTTTTCCAGTTCTTCCAACTATGTCTTCCTTGCCTCTTTCACGAAGCGGCGACATAGCCTAGAATCTGCTAACGTCATCTATAAACCGTTTTGTTTGCTTTGCGAATTCTTTAATTGTTTTCTCTAAATTACATAACGGCTGGGAATCGTCTTTTATCCTGATGTGTTATTCTGTCGTTCATCGCTCCAAGCCCTGAGTATTCAGGGACAGAGTGATTCACAAATGAAACTTATAAATAAATGAATGGATTTGGGGGGTCCCAAGAATCACACTGAGGCTAGGGACCTTTGGCAACACACTTGTACGTTAATTATAGAAAAGAGAGAATTCGCAGTATGCATAAAGACAGCAGTTTGTGGTGGCCCTCCTAATCTCTGGGACTTAGCTGCAGCGATCTCTGCTCCTCTGTGTGGTGCCACAGCACCTCCTGGTCTCTAGGGCAGCCCGGCTTGCTACATCTTCCTCTTTTGTACTTTTCAGGCCGTTAGGTGCAGCCTCTTCCCTTCTGGCAATCCTGCTGAGCAGTGCTCCCTCTAGGGGACTGTGGAGTCTGGTGAACAAAAATTCTCCTTTGTGAGCTAGTACCGCCATTAAATTTGTGAGCGAGCGATTTGGCTGCTGCAAAGATTAGCTTGCTCCGGAGCCCTCCTTCCTGAGCTAAGGCAAAAACGTGTGAGCTGGAGGCTAAGAAACTGTGAGCTAGCTCACACTTACTCGGCTTAGAGGGAACCAGAGGTCATTTCGGGGGGGATCACGGGGGATCGCAGTTCCCCCGGGTGAGGTACATTCAGCCAGGAGGAGGCAGGAGAAGAGGGAGGGTAAGTTGCTTCCTCCCTGCCTCTCCCCACCCCTGCCTGCCTGGGGCCAGGGAGGGCCTTCGCGGGGCTTCCTTGCACTCCCGCCGGCCTTGCAGGTCCACTGCCCTGCCCCTCATGGGACTCGGCAGTGGAGCTGCAAGGCCGCCGGCGGCAGCCGGGACCGTTGGGGGCGGGGTGTGTGGCCTTATGACACACTTCCGGCGATGTCAGGGGGTGTGGCCTTATGACACACTTCAGGTGATGTAAGAGGGTGTGGCATATGCTAATGAGTTATGCTAATGAGTTCCCCTAGCTCTTTTTCTACGAAACAACGCCTGGAGGGAACACTGATGCCGAGTCCTGCCATCTTGGGTCTAAGGCTTGCGCCTGGGATTCCCTTATCAGCAGGGGTCATTTCGTAGACAAAGAGGTGCAGGAGCTCATTAGCATAACTTATTTGCATATGCCCCCCCCCCCCCGGTGTCAGCGGAAGTGTGTCAGAAGGCAACACCCACCGCTCAGGCTCCACTGGACTGTTTTGGATGGCTAGCTATTGTGGGGGACGGGGGACGTGCAGATCTGTCCTCGCAGAGGAGGGAGAGCTTGTACAGGAATAAAACTTGGTCTTAAAGGTGCCACTAGACTGTTTGGGGCGGGGGGACGGGGGGGAACTGGCAGGGATCCCAAAGGTCATCTAGTCCAGCTCACTCCACAATGCAGGAAATTCACAGCTACCTTCCCACACACACACACACACACACTCCCCCCAGTGGCCCCTGCTCTATGCCCTGAGGAAGGCAAAAAATCCTCCAGGATCTTTGGGCCAATCTGGCCTGGAGGAAAATTCCTTCCTGACCCCAAAGAGGAGCAGACAAATTATTTAATGTTTGATGCACACCACCCCAGGAACCCTGTTGGATGGAAAGGCAACATAGAAGTGTTTTAAACAAACAAATGGATTAAAACTAAATTCAGGATGGGCAAAAGGAGATGCTTCTTTGCACACCACTTAATACGCTGATGGGGTTCACGGCCCATATCTCACATTTGAAAGCGGGGGGGGGGAGAAATTTATAGAGAATGAAGGAAGGTCTTGCAGAGAATATAAGCTGGGGGGGAGGGGTTATGAGGAAAATTCAGAACTGGACAGTAGGATGTGACCATGACTAGCATATGCAGTACATGTCTCTATGACAAATGGATATGTGGAGGAGGAGGAGATTGGATTTATCCCCCGCCCTTCACTACCCAAAGGTGTCTCAGAGCGGCTTCCAAACGCCTTTCCCTTCCCCTCCCCACGACAGACACCCTGTGAGGCAGGTGGGGCTGAGAGAGCTCTGACAGAAACGGCTCTTTTTCAAGAACAGCTGTGCCAGAAGTATGGCTTGCCCAAGGTCATCCAGCAGGTGCAAGTGGAGGAGTGGGGAATCCAACCCGGTTCTCCCAGATTAGAGTCCACGCACTTCACCACGACACCAAATATGTTGACTTTATTGTATGCTTTATTGCTTAGAGTCACATGGATCTTTGATATGGGAAGAATGTTATCAGTCGGGTTAGAACAGATAAAAGGAAGTACTTCTTCACCCAAAGAGTGATTAACACATGGAATTCACTGCCACAGGAAGTGGTGGTGGCTACAAGCATGGACGGCTTCATAAGGGAATTAGATAGGCATATGGAGCAGAGTGACTCTGGGGCAAGTGATGCTCTGTCTTCTTGGTGCTTGGGGGGGCCAACAGTGGGAGGGCTTCTAATGTCCTGGCCCCACTGGTGGACCTCCTGATGGCACCTAGTATTTTTGGCCACTGTGTGACACAGAGTGTTGGACTAGATGGGCCTTTGGCCTGATCCAACATTGGCTTCTCTTATGTTCTTATGTTATGAGGGAATTAGATAAGCATATGGAGCAGAAGTCAATCAGTGGCTCTTAGCCAGAAGGTATAGATAGGAAGGAACTCTCAGGCTGGGGCAAGAGATGCTCTGTCTTCTTGGTGCTCGGGGGTGGGGGGCAACAGTGGGAGGGCTTCTAATGTCCTGGCCCCACTGGTGGACCTCCTGATGGCACCTAGCATTTTTGGCCACTGTGTGACAGAGTGTTGGACTAGATGGGCCTTTGGCCTGATCCAACATTGGCGTCTCTTATGTTCTTATGTACTTGGTCTTATTTCCCCTCCATCCTAAAGATTAACAAAATGCAAAATGAATTTCTGGCTGTCCCTGAAAAATAATGTGGACATCGGGCCGACCGGTCACATATGTGAATTACGCAGGAATTTCAAACTGCTGCAGAGTCTCTGGTGGAGTGTGAGGAAAGGGAGGCTGAGTTAATCGGTTACGTGTCAAGCAAGTCTGGGCTGTGCAGGGAGTGGCCGTGGCTTAGGGGTAGAGCATGTTCTTGGCATGCAGACGGTCCCCGACTCAATCCCCGGCATTTCCAGTTACAAGGACTGGGCAGTCGGTGATGTGGAAGACTTCCGCCCAAGACCCTGAAGAGCTGCTGCCAGTCTGAGTAGGCAATACTTCAATGGACCAATGGACCGATACTTCAATGGACCGATTCAGTATAAGGCAGCGCCGTGTGTTCATACGTGGTCCCCTTTCCCGTTTATGTCCGGCTCTTGTTCGTGCTGACATGTACTTTTCTCCCCCACCCCAGCCCGGTTATTATTTTCAGGCTTCCGTCCATCAGTCCAAGCAGGCAAAAGATTATTCCCTCCCCAACTCTAGCTGGAGCCCGGACATGATGACGCAGTTCAACAAGTACATGGAGATGTCCAAAGACAAGACTTGGAAAAAATTGCCCTCGTACCGAGACATTCTGGATCATATGCCAGGCAAGGACAGTCTGATTTATTTATTATTTATTTATTAAACTTATATCCCGCCCTTCCACTGTGGGCTCAGGGCGGCTAACAAGAGGCAATTGCCATACCAACGATAAAATCAGTAAAACCATCAAATGTCAAGTTATGTATAAAATCAGTGCTCACCTAGTACATCCAAGGCAGGGGCTCTGATACAGTGTTTCAGGTGGTGCTACTGTCTCATTCTTAATCGGTCTTCCCACGTCGGTTCTCCGTTCCCAGGCCAGTTCACGTTGCCAATGGCAACGCGGTGGTGGTACAGTGACAGTGGCGGCTCCTACTCAAAAGCCTGGCGGAAGAGCTCCGTCTTGCAGGCCCTGCGGAATTGCATCAGGGCCCTGGTCTCCTCCAGGAGCTCATTCCACCAGATAGGAGCTGCCACCGAAAAAGCCCTGGCCCTTGTAGCAGCATATTTAACCTCTCTGGGTGCTGGTACAGCCAAAAGATGTTTTGCCCCAGACCGTAGTGCCCTTGGGGGAACATATGGGGAAAGGCGGTCCCTTAAAGGCGGATTTCCACACGCGCCCTTTTGCATCCCAGTTAAAAGCGGCGCTTATCATTGTTCCATCCATTACGTGTGTGCTTATTTCTTCTTGTCTTCCTTTGAGGTTTCAGTTCCAGGTTCAGTTTCTCTGCTGGTTCAAGTTCTTCATCCCATGCAGTTGAATAATCCTGTGTTGAGCCATCTCCTTCTTTCTCTGATGGGATTCCACACTTCCTCTTCACTTTCTCCATCTCTCCACCTCCCAGTTTACTCCCATGCCGTTCCATAAAGTCCTTCACTTTAAGAGTCGAGTCGATCCTGAACCTCTGACCTGTATTTATTTTATTGGTGTCCCTCAGAGTACCTTTTCACATCCTTCCCCCCTCCTCTATCTAATCCTCACAACAGGTCCTATTGGTGGACCTCCTGATGGCACTTGAGTTTTGGCCCCTGTGTGACACAGAGTGTTGGGTTGGATGGGCCGCTGGCCTGATCCAACATTGGCTTTTCTTATGTTCTTATGTCTGAGGCAGTGATGCTCTGTCTTCTGGGTGCTTGGGGAGCAACAGTGGGAGGGCGTCAGGAGTTCTGGCCCCCCTGGTGGACTTCCTGATGGCACCTGAGTTTTGGCCACTGTGTGAGACAGATTGTTGGACTGGGTGGGCCACTGGCCTGATCCAACATTGCTTCTCTTACGTTCTTATGTCTGGGGCAGTGATGTTCTGTCTTCTTGGTGCTTGGGGGGGGAGGCAACAGTGGGAGGGCTTCTGGAGTTCTGGCCCCACTGGTGGACCTCCTGGTGGCACCTGAGTTTTGGTCACTGTGTGACACAGAGTGTTGAACCGGGTGGGCCACTGGCCTGATCCAACATTGCTTCTCTTACGTTCTTATGTCTGGGGCAAGTGATGCTCTGTCTTCTTGGTGCTTGGGGGGGGGGCAACAGTGGGAGGGCTTCTGGAGTTCTGGCCCCACTGGTGGACCTCCTGATGGCACCTGAGTTTTGGCCACTGTGTGACACAGAGTGTTGGACCGGGTGGGCCATTGGCCTGACCCAACGTGGCCTCTCTTATGTTCTTAATCCTCTAACCACTACCCCACACTATTGTCACTTCTCACTGCCTCCACAGAAAGGATGAGGCAAGAACATGAGGAGGAGAGGAGCGAAGAAAGCAGGATGTTCCTCCGAAACTTGGATGAGGAAGGCAAGGGGTTTGAGTACGTTATGTTTCTGAACTGGTCGGAGAAGAGGATGGCCTGTGTGGCCCAGCTGGGTCCCTACCTGGAAGGACCCCCGGGGTAAGGCTCGATAAATCCTATTTGTGCATGGGCGGCAGGGAAGGGTTTTATTTCTGACCTACCATACTGCAGCAGTGATTTCGCAATGTGGTATATGCATAAATGAACCTAAGAACATCAGAAGAGCCCTGCTGGATCAGACCAGTTGTCCATCTAGTCCAGCATCCCGTCTCACACAAGGGCCAACAACAGGCGATATAGGCCAAGACCTTCCCCTGATGTTGCCTCCTGGCTCTGGGATTCAGAGGATCAGTGCCTCTCAATGGGGACGTTCCCCGCAGTCGCCATGGCTAGTAGCCATCGATAGACCCATCCTCCATCAATCTAATCCGTTTTTAAAGCTGTCTGTGCCTGTGGCCACCACTGCATCCTCTGGCACCGAATGCCATGTTTTAATAATTCTCTGTGTAAAGTAGTATTTCCTTTTGTCCGTCCTTGGATGCCCTCAAGTTCTAATATTTTAGGAGAGGGAGAAAAAGTTCTCTTTGTCAATTCTCTCCACTCATTTTATAAACCCCCTGTGAGGCCCTGCTTATTGGGGAGTGTATAGATTCTGCCCCCCAGGCCAGTCCAGGGATGAGGGGAAGAACTCTACACTGACTCAATACATTACACACTAACTCAGAGAGGTAGGCTCTCTGAATCTAAAAACTATAGCCACCAGGGATCTCTAGACTTAATCCCTCACCAGCCTGAGATTAGAGATCCCAGAATCTCAGTTGGCACCTGGGACTGAATACATCAGCAACTCAATCTAGAGCTGTGCAGTTAATCTTACCAAGGTAGCGCCATTTGGTGAGCAGCAGGCACAAGGAAAAAGGCTTGAAGTCCAGTTACCACAATGCAGACAAATTAGAAAACCAGAATAAGTTTATTCAGTAGAGAATTTAGCACAGACTAGAAGGATTACAAAATAACAAAAACGTATGGCTCTTGGCCCTAACTAAACATTAGAGATATGCATAATTACCAACTTCAGGAATCCATAGTCCCAGATTGTCCATTGTGATAAAGTCCAATTAGGTCCCATCTTTGTGCAAGATGTTGAACTGATGTTGAAGAAAGGAACTTATAAATATAACTAACAAAGCTTGGCGTCACACAGTCTCTCAAATGCCAAAAATCAACTCTGACAGTCTCATCTCTCTCTCTCTCATATATAGCCACACAGGCTAAACTCTCTCATATAGCCACACAGGCTAAACTCTCTCATATAGCCACACAGGCTAAACTCCCACTGCTTCCTCTGTCATACAGACAAAAACTCTCCACATCTCTCTATAAACACAGAATCCCCTCAGAGACATCTCTCCTCCCACATTCTCAGTCATCAGCCAATCACATCATACTTGTCTCCCTCTATCACTCTCCTTACATTCCTGCAGTCAAACGAAACATTTAAAGAAACACACACACATCAAAACTTGAAGTCATCACACACACCCCTCATGTCTGCTCTCTGTAGTCTCTTTTCTAACCTGAGAAGTCCCAGACCCTTCAGCCTTTCCTCATAGGGAAGGTGCTCCAAGCCCCCTAATCATCTTGGTCGCCCTCCTCTGAGCCAGTATGGTATAGTGGGTTAAGAGTGGCAGACTCTAATCTGGAGAACTGGTTTTGATGATGATGATGATGATGATGATGATTTGTTTTCAATTTGTATTCCGCCTTGCCGGCGAACTGGCTCAAGGCGGCGTACAAGCATTAAAATACAATAAAACAGTAAATACAATAAAATACACATAAACAACCTACATAACATCATAAAAATACCACTGTGCAAATGATGGCGGCATTCAATAGAAGTGGAAAGCCGTGTTCCCCATGCTCTACGTCTCCTACTCAGAGTTAATCTTGTATTTTCTCAGCATCCGCTGGCTCTCATTATTCACTATCTCTTCAGGGGCTCTATTATCCTACCATGAACAAACGAATAAGAGTCGTAACTATATTGTAATTTATTTGTAAAACAGCTCCAAGTATAAAGCGACCCGACGAAGCATTGAGGGAAACAGATTGTTTACCTGGGAAATCTGTAGTCGCGTGGCAATTGTTGGAAGCAGCATCAGCAGCACTGCATGGCGTAAAATAAAGAAACAAAAAAAGAAGCAAATGCGTGGACTGTGACTGGACTAGAATCACTTTTGCACTGTATCTGGATAGGAGGCCCATTTGTGCCACCTTCAGGTGTTTTTTGTTGTTGTTGTTTTGCCCTCCAGGTTTGTGCATGGGGGTTCCATCGCGACCATTCTGGACAGCGTCCTCGGGGGCTGCGCCATGAGCCTCCTGGGCCACGTGATGACTGCCAACCTGAACATAAACTACAAGACGTGAGTGCATTGGGGGAGGGGGCGCTCAAGGGGTGAATGTTTTATGCTCTGCCAAAACAAGAATTGGGGGACATAAGAACACAAGAGAAGCCAATGTTGAATCAGGCCAATGGCCCATCCAGTCCAACCGTTTGTGTCACACAGTGGCCAGAAATACCTGGTGCCATCAGGAGGTCCAGCAATGGGGCCAGGACACTAGAAGCCCCCCCCCCACTGTTGCCCCCCCCCCAGCACCAAGAATACAGACCATCACTTGCCCCAGACCGAGAGTTCCTATCTATACCTTGTGGCTAATGGCCACCGATGGACCTCTGCTCCGTAGGCTTTGCTAATTCCCTCTTGGAGCCGTCCATGCTTGTAGCCACCGCCACCTCCTGTGGCAGTGAATTCCAAGTGTTAATCACTCTTTGGGTGAAGAAGGACTTCCTTTTATCCGTTCTAACCTGGCTGCTCAGCAATTTCATGGAGTGCCCACGAGTTCTTGTCTTGTGAGAAAGGGAGAAAAGGACTTCCTGAGGCAGCTGATTCCATTGTTGCACAGCTTTTACATAAAAACTTTTTCCTAATATCCAGCCAGTACCTTATGAATATGAATACTTTCTGGAGGTTCCAGACTCCTCAAATCCACGTGCATTCATTATTGACACGTCCCACTTTGCTGATTGTACCGACTCATTCTGTGCAAAATCCTAGAATCACAGAGTTGGAAGGGGTCCTACAGGCCATCTAGTCCAACCCCCCACTCAATACAGGATCAGCCTTGAGCATCCCTGACCAGTGTTGGTCCAGCTGCTGCTTAAAGACTGCCAGGGAGGGGGAGCTCACCACCTCTCGAGGCTATTGATCTGCCTTGAGTCCCCGTGAGAAAGGCGGACTATAAAGAATGTAGACGAATAGGGTTTTCAAGGCAAGGTACTAACAGAGGTGGCTTCCTCTGTATCGAGACCCTGGTATTCCTTGGTGGGTCTCCCTTCCAAATACTGACTAGGACTGTCTTACCCACTTAGCTTCTGAGACCAGACGAGTTCCGGCTAGCCTGGGCTATCCAGGTCAGAGCTGATGTTCCTGGCTAAACCCATAGAATCATAGAATGCTAGAGTTGGAAGGGACCTTGCAGGTCATCTAGTCCAACCCCCTGCACTCTGCAGGAACATAGTCGAAAGATAGCCCTAGAACATACCTGAAAGATGGTTGTCCAGCGAAGGAGCATCCACCACCTCCCAAGGCAGTCTGTTCCACTGCTCAACCACTCTTACAGTTTGGAGGTTTCTCCTGATATTTAGCCAGTATCGACTCCCTTGTGATTTCCACCCGTTAGATCTAGTCTTGCAATCCGGAGCAAGAGAGAATAGATCCACTCCATCTTCTACATGACGGCCCTCAAATACTTGAAGACTGCAGTCATGTCCCCTCTAAGCCTTCCCTTTCCCAGGCTAAACAGACCCAACTCTTTCAGCCTTTCCTCATAAGACTTGGATTCCAACCCTCTCACCATCCTGGTTGCCCTCTTCTGGACACGCTCAAGCTTGTCAACGTGGTGCCCCAAACTGGACACAGTACTCCAGGTGAGTCCTGACCAGAGCAGAATAGAGCGGAACGACCACCTCCCGTGATCTGGATACAAGGCTTCTGTTAATGCATCCTAAGACTGCATTAGCTTTCTTCACAGCCACATTGCAGTGCAGGCTCATGTTTTTTTTTGTAGAAAAAGCCCAGCAGGAACTCATTAGCATATTAGGCCACACCCCCGACAGCACAGCTCATTAGCATATTAGGCCACACCCCACATGTTACCAGAAGTGTGGTCATCCAACCACACCCACCTTTTGCTTTTTATTATGTTTACTTTGTTGTCAAAACCCTGGGCTTTTTTTGTAGCATGAACTTCTTTGCATGTTAGGCCACACACCCCTAATGTAGCCAATCCTAATGAGTGTCTGCTGTTAGGTGTGGCCTATTATGCTAATGAGTTCCTGCTGGGCGTTCCTGCCCCAATATAGCCCTGTTTAGCCCCATTCCTGAACGTTCTTCCTCCTCCTCCTCCTCCTCCACTGCTTGTGCTTCTTGCACATCCCTGTGCTGCCGGGCAGGGCAGGAAGCCAGATTTTATTGACAAGGGAGATGTCTTCCTCTTGCAGCCCCGTCCCACTAGGCTCAGTAGTCCTGGCAGAGAGCAAACTAGACAAGCTGGAGGGGAGAAAAGTGTTCGTCTCCGGCCATGTGAGGAGCGTCGATGGAGAAACCCTTCATGCAGAAGCCACAGGTAAGTGCTCGGCTTTTCTTCAAGCTTTGATGGGTATCAGGACCACAGGGAGAGGCCCTCCCGACAGTCCCACTGATCGAAGAAGCTCGTCTGACGGGCACGCAGGAGAGGGCCTTTTCAGTGGCGGCACCAGAGGGGTGTGCCCGGCCCCCTTCCTGTCTTTTGGAGGCAGTTTATTAGCAGTCATAAACAGGGGTCATTTCATAGAAAAAGAGGTACAGGAGCTCATTTGCATAACTCATTTGCATATGCCACACCCCCTGACAAAGGGCAGGCCTGTTTAGAATGCCTTTCTTTCCTTTCCCCATCTGGGGAAGGGAAAGAAATATATTTAAATCCCCCCAGGTGGCAAGGGAGTGTGTGCCCCTGGGCTCCTTACTGCCGGAGCACCGCTCCGGCGCGTTCCAGCAGGGAATGACCCCTGCTTGTGAGCAAAAATTCTACTCTGTCAGTTCCTGGCATTAAAGTTGTACAGAGAGTAAATTGTTTCATATTAGAAGTCCATATTTTATAGCTTTCATTAGTCAGTCAAGACAATGCAAAAGTTGGAAGTACTTTGCTTCAGGTTATATTCATAAATCAATTGGGTGTCAAATAACAATGTAAATCAGGTGTAGAAACACACAGTAGATAAACAGTTTTCAACAGCTTAAAAGTTCCAGTTTTAGTAGATCTTTATCCCTTCAGCCCATTAAAACCATGCAGACTGTCAAAGAGTGCTACTTCCACTTATTTGTAAAGTTTAAGTTTCTCTTCCTTTCTTTGAAAACGTCTCATCAAAATCGTTGTTCTTTTGTGCCTTTGATTTTTAACTGTCCCATCCTCTTCTGGCTCGCCTGTGTACGAAAACAAGCAGCCTTGTATCTCGAACCCTGCATCGGCTGCATTATTTCCAACCAGCCCATAAAAGCAGTAGCTGGGTAAATCTCTCTTTGTAGATATCGAGTGTTGAAGCAGGTCCCGACGTTTTCCATCTGGCATCATCTGATTTTGTGCCTCTGTGATCTCCTCTCCGAAGCCCTCCCAAAACTCTCCCAAGGCTTCCAGGGCAGCAGTTGTAATTTTTCCCGTCAATTGGCTTTTTAAGCAGTCCCAGTGATCATCTGAGAACATCAGTAAATTTCCATCCGTCAAGCGATCTCAGATGCTGCCGAGAAAGCCATCTCGCACGTCAGCAGACACAGTAGAACAACATTCACTGTGTAACTGCGCAGGCAAAGAAACTACAGCCCGCCGCCATTTTAGCTCCACGAGAGCCTGTTTCCCTCTCCATCATTCCAACTAAGTTCTTTAAGCTTGAAGTCGCTATTTCCCAGGTAGCAGATAGAAGATTTCAGAGTGTTATTGTGCCCCTTTCAGTTTGATCCAGTAACATTCCCGGCACTCTGGCTCGCCACCTACTATGGGAGTCTTCCCCCTCCCTTTCCCTCTGGGAGAGATTTATAGGAACAATTAAGTATCCTTTTCGAGCTTGACGATTATAGATAGTAGAAAGGTTACTCACAGGGTCTTCGCCAGGATGATTTGTGGCGAGGTATGGAGGCTCTAATTTGGGGTTTGAAGTAGCTTTCCAGCCGTGAACTCCCCAGCTGGTCCTTCAGAGCTGCTTCAAGACGAACTGAAACCTTCGCCCACTGTTGCCACAGATGGGGGGCTCAGTTTAAGTCTTCTGCTTCCAGTTCCTACTCCCGGGGATCTGGTGGACCCTTGTCAAATCTGGAGGAGTCCAGAAATGTCAAAAAGGTCCCCTAAAAATACTCCAAAAGCTGGCGAGACCCAGAACATTGGACACTCAACCACCTCACTACCCCATCGCCCCGTCTCAGCCTTGCAGTGATTCTTCAAAAAGAATCTGAACAGCCGACATTTGAATTTGAAGAAGTGAGCAGTGACTCATGGAAGCTCATCACCCTGCCGCGAATTTTGTTAGTCTTTAAGGTGCTCCTGGACTCTTGCTCTTCAGATATCTGGAGAATTGAGCAGTGACTCACAAAAGCGCCTACACTTCCACCAATTTTGTTAGTCTTTAAGGTGCTCCTGGACTCTTGCTCTTTTCTACCGCTACAGACAGACTAATATGGCTCTGCCCATCTTGATCTATCACCAATTTTGTTAAGTCTTTAAGGTGCTTTTTGTTAATCTTTGAGGTGCTTTTTGTTAGTCTTTAAGGTGCTCCTGGACTCTTGCTCTTTTCTACCGCTACAGACAGACTAATATGGCTCTGCCCATCTTGATCTATCACCAATTTTGTTAAGTCTTTAAGGTGCTTTTTGTTAATCTTTGAGGTGCTTTTTGTTAGTCTTTAAGGTGCTCCTGGACTCTTGCTCTTTTCTACCGCTACAGACAGACTAATATGGCTCTGTAATGATTCCTTGTTTTATATGTGTGTGTGTCTCTTTAAAAGTTTGGTTGCATGGCTGTGTGATGGACTAGAGTGCTTGAAGAGACAAGTGTGGGGTGATTGGTGATTGACAGAGAGGGGAAGGGGTTTTAGAAAGGGTTTCTGAGTGGATGAATGGGTATGTCCTTCAGGAGTGACAGTTAGAGGTTTGACAGTTGATAAAGACAGTTGTTAAGTTAGAGTTCTGAAGTCTGGGAGAGAAGCAGTTTTGTGTGCTTAGGAGTTAGTTCTGTGTATGAAGAAAAGTTGGATGTATATGAAACAAGAAAGTAAAGTTACAGAGAAAAATAAAAAGTCTGAGTGACAGGCTAAAGTGAAACAGTAAATGTATATGGCCTGAAGGAAAAAGGTGTTACAAAGTTACATGCCAAGATCCCTGACAGGGAGAGAGAAAAGTGTGTGAAATATCAAAGCAATTGTTTAGTATTTACCCATTCCTAGTTACAGTGTACTACCATATTATTTACAAATTATATCAATAAATCTACTTTTATTTAAGATACCAGTTCTGAAATAAATACTTCCCAGGACCACATTAGTACCCCGAAAGCCTTAAAACCGACCTACCTACCCAGTGATAGAAATAGTATAGTATACAGGTTTGGAAAGCCTTAAATTTCCTGGTGGCAGCCGGATATACACAGTAAAACAAAACATAAAGAACCCTTTAAAGGGAAACCAGACCTACCCAAATAAGGGGTCGTCACAGGCTCTGCCCATCTTGATCTATCACCAATTTTGTTAGTCTTTCAGGTGCTCCTGGACTCTTGCTCTTTTCTACTGCTACAGACAGACTAACACGGCCACCCATCTCGATCTGTTTGAATCACACACTTTTTCTTTTCGTCCCTTCTCCCTGTTCTTAGGACTGTTTATCCAGCTGGCTTCACAGAAGACCCACCCGCCACCAGAGTGCTCCAAGTAGCCCACCCAGCTACACCGGAGGGACCAGGAACGGCTTGTCTTGAACAGAGCGGGTCCACCTTCTCCGTCAGCATCTCTCTCTCCCCGCCCAAGTCCCTCCTAATCCGACCCTGCGTGCCGCAGCAAAGAAGACGCCTTGGGTCCCAACCGTCTGTGCCTCTTTTGCCAGCCCGCCTGGCAAAACTGGACGGGAGCTGTTTCCCGTTACACAAAGTGAGCATTCCTGGAGCTTAAGCATTTTGGCGTTTGATGTTCATCCAGACGGGTGTTTCCCCAAGATGGCCGCGGGGCGTCTCTCTGATCAGCTAGCATCTGCCTCCATTTGCTAGCCAGCTTTTTTCGCCTGTCTGCTTCTGAGATAGGATTTCTCTCCCAAGAAACGATACCATTTTTTCAGCCTCGTCTCCGGGAAGACAGTCCCTGGATGTTAGGGTACCTTAAGCCTACAAAGACTTTATCCATTTTGCTTAACATTGCTGTAAGGAGCTTTCCCCTGTTGCAGGAAGGCAGGGGAGGAAAAGCTGCCATTCGTGGAATGAACCCACACCTCCCGACCCACAAAGCACTTTGGACCAAACAGTATTTTTGTGCGTTGACCTTTTCTCCTGATCTGGTTTCTTCTGGCATGGAGAAGTTGACCGCTAATGCTTAAAGGACAAATTTTGCATAGGCCTGCTGAGGAAATCCCTAAATAGAGGAGTATTATACGTATTTCCCTGCGCACCTCCGTTAACTCATTGCATGGGAGTGTTAAGACTTGAACGCAAGAGGCTGAGTTCAAAATGGCTTCAGAGATATACCTACAGTATCAGACAATGTGCTTGCTGTTTTTATTAACACATAATGCACAGTTAGGGCTGAAGTAGCTCAAGTGGTTAAGACGCTGAGCTGCAGACCGGAAGGTCGGTAGTTCAGCAGTTCGAGACCCGAGTGCCACGTGACGGAGTGAGCTCCCGTCTCTGGCCCCAGCTCCTGCCAACCTAGCAGTTTGAAAGCAAGAAATTGCAAGTAGATAATTAGGTACCTCTAGTTTTTGGGAGGATGAGAACCAAAGGCACGGATCACTTTCTCTCTACAGGAGGGATGGGGAGAGACAGAGAGAGAGAGTTTGGAAACTACATCTGGCATCTTAGGGAAAGTTACGTAAGAGACAGAAGGCATTTCCTCCCCGCTTCCCTTCTGGCCTCCACCCCCTTTAAGGAGCTGCGGTGGCTCAAGTGGTTAAGAAGCTGAACTGCAGGCTGTGGAAGGTCGGTAGTTCAGCAGTTCGAGACTCGAGTTGCCGCATGACAGCTCCCGTCTCTAGTTCCAGCTCCTGCCCACCTAGCAGTTCGAAAGCAAGAAATTGCAAGTAGATAAATAGGTACCACAGCGTTCCGTGTGCCTTGGTGTTTAGTCATGCCGGCCACATGACCACGGAAACGTCTTCGGTCAGCACTGGCTCTTCAGCTTTGAAACGGAGATGAGCACCACAACCCTAGAGTCGGATTTGACTGGCTTTCGAGCAAGGGAACCTTTACCTTAAATAGGTACCACTTTGGTGGGAGGGGAACAGCGTTCCGTGTGCCTCGGCGTCTAGTCATGCCAGCCACATGACCACGGAGACGTCTTCGGACAGTGCTGGCTCTTCGGCTTGGAAGCGGAGATGAGCACCACATCCCCTAGAGTCAGATTCGACTGGCTTTCGAGCAAGGGAAAACTTAACCTTTACTAATGCTCAGTTGCTGCTGTTAACATGTGATGCTGAGCCCGGCTTGTACGCATGCAAAGTGTCTGGTTCGGGGAGTCCCGGCCACAGGATACAGGGTACATCACCTCTCGGGTAGTAGGGTTATCAACCTCCAGGTGGGGCCTGGAGATCGCCCAGAACTTTGACTGACCCCCACACAACAGGGTTCAGTTCCCCTGGAGAAAACGGCTGCATTGGAGGAAGGGTGGTGTGGCCTTGTACCCTGCTGAGCCCCTTCCCATTACCTGTCTCTTGCTCCACCCCCAAATCTCCAGGAATTTTCCAGCCCGCAGTTGGCGACAGTGTTTAGCTGCTGAAGGGAGAACCTGCCCGAATCAGCTGGGATTAATTTCTCAGGTAATGCCCAGGCACATCTCTGCAGCTTCTGCTGAGGTTTTTAGCCCCAGGGGATCGAGTCGTTCCAATAGTCTCACCCACACACAGACACAGACTCCCCTGCCTGAGATCGTTCATCAAAATAGGGTGGAAAGTAGGGCTTTTTTGTGCTGACCCCTAAAACTGGGTAGTTTGTTAGAGCCAGTTTGTTGTAGTGGTTAGGAGCGCGGGATCTAATCTGGGAGGAACCGGGTTTGATCCCCTACTCCTCCCCATGCAGCTGCTGGTGTGACCTTGGGTCAGTCACAAGATTTCTCAGAGCTGTTCTCTCAAGGGCAGTTCTCTCAGAGCTCTCTCAGCCCCACCGACCTCACAGGGTGTCTGTTGTGGGGAGGGGAAGGGAAAGGAGTTTGTAAGCCGCTCTGAGACTCCTTCGGTTAGTGAAGGGCAGGGTATAAATCCAATCTCTTGTCTTCGCTCTTCTTCTATCCTCTTTTATTCACCGTATCCCCCCCACCCAGCACGTTACTGGAATTCAGCACAAGTTGGCTATTGGTTTTGACTCTCAGAAATAGAAGTGTGCATTTGGGATGAATCCCAGTACCTGCGAAGAAATAACAATGTATTTATTTACGTTTAGTCCACCTTTCTCACTTGATAAATCACCAGGCCCAGATGGCATACATCTGAGAGTTCTGAAAAAACTCAAATTTGAACTTGTGGATTTACTTACAAAAATATGTAACCTTTCCTTAAAATCTGCCTCCATTCCTGAGGACTGGAACGTAGCTAATGTCACTCCCTTCTTTAAAAAGGGTTCCAGAGGAGATCCGGGAAATTACAGGCCAGTCAGTCTGATGTCGATACCGGGTAAATTGGTGGAAACCAGGGGTCATTTGGGGGGGGGACGCCATCCCCCCGGGTGAAGTGCGGGAGGGCGGGGCCTGGAGCTCCCTGCTGGTGCCCGCTGTAGGTCGCCGCCGGCTGTGGGGAGAACACACTTCCGGTGATGTCAGGGGGTGTGGCATATGCTAATGAGTTATGCTAATGAGTTCCCCTAGCTCTTTTTCTACGAAATGACCCCTGGTGGAAACCATTATTAAGGAAAGAATTAGTAGGCACATAGATGAACAAAACCTATTGAGGCAGAATCAGCATGGGTTCTGTAACGGAAGATCTTGTCTCACTAACCTGTTAGTGTTCTTTGAGGGCGTGAACAAACATGTGGACAGGGGGGACCCAATAGATATTGTTTACCTTGACTTCCAGAAAGCTTTTGATAAAGTTCCTCATCAAAGGCTCCTAAGTAAGCTCAAAAATCATGGGATAGAAGGACAAGTCCTTTTATGGATCAAAAACTGGCTAATTAATAGAAAACAGAGAGTGAGTATAAATGGGCAATTTTCTCAGTGGAGGGTGGTAAGCAGTGGGGTACCGCAGGGATCAGTACTTGGTCCACTGCTTTTTAACTTGTTCATTAATGATTTGGAGATGGGAGTAAGCAGTGAAGTGGCTAAATTTGCAGATGATACGAAGTTGTTCAGGGTGGTGAAAACCAGTGAGGATTGTGAGGCACTCCAAAGGGATCTGTCAAAGATGGGCGAGTGGGCGTCAACATGGCAAATGGGGTTCAATGTGGCCAAGTGCAAGGTGATGCACATTGGAGCCAAAAATCCTAAATATAAATACACATTGATGGGGTCTGAACTGGCAGAGACTGAGCAAGAGAGAGATCTTGGAGTTGTAGTGGATAACTCACTGAAAATGTCGAGACAGTGTGTGACTGCAATAAAGAAGGCCAATGCTATGCTGGGGATTATTAGGAAGGGTATTGAAAACAGATCAGCCAATATCATAATGCCCCTATATAAATCAATGGTGAGACCTCATTTGGAATACTGTGTGCAGTTCTGGGCACCACACCTTAAAAAGGATATTATAGCTTTGGAAAAAGTGCAGAAAAGGGCAACTCGAATGATAAAAGGGTTGGAACACTTTCCCTATGAGGAAAGGTTAAAGCGCTTAGGGCTCTTTAGCTTGGAGAAAAGACGACTGAGGGGTGACATGATCGAGGTTTATAAGATTATGCATGGGAAAGAGCAGGTAAAGAAAGAGGTACTTTTCTCCCTTTCTCACAATACAAGAACTCGTGGGCACTCCATGAAACTGCAGAGCGGTCGGGTTAGAACGGATAAAAGGAAGTACTTCTTCACCCAAAGAGTGATTAACACATGGAATTCACTGCCACAGGAAGTGGTGGGTGCTACAAGCAGGGGGGTCAACAGTGGGAGGGCTTGTAATGTCCTGGCTCCACTGGTGGATCTCCTGATGGCACCTGGTATTTCTGGCTACTGTGTGACACAGAGTGTTGGACTGGATGGGCCTTTGGCCTGATCCAACATTGGCGTCTCTTATGTTCTTATGAGACTTAACAGGACAGGGCACCCAGTAAACAGAGTGATAAGGTTTTGATTGCATAAATCTGAAAACGGAGCTGAAAGAAGTCATAAACGTTGTGTGTGTGCGTCTTAAATCAGAAGCGACTTGGTGGCACTCCGAACGTCCTATCCTGAACAGCCTTGGTCAGATCTCTCCTCCATGAATCAAACTAACCCCCTTTTCAAGCTGTTTGTCCCTGTGGCCATCGCTACATCCTCCGGCAGCGAAATCCACATTTTAATCACTCTCTGTGTAAAGAAGTGTTTCTTTTTGTCCGTCGAGAACCTCCTGCCCGTCAGCTTCATTGGCTGCCCTCGAGTTCTAGTATTTCGGGAGAGGGAGGAAAAACTTAAGAACCTTTTCTGGCTCCTTCATTGGACCAGATGGACTGTGGGTCTGATCCGGCAGGGCTGTTCCTATGACGCCCACAACGCAGGTTGTCAGACAGATGTCTCAGTGGATATCTGTGGGTCTGAAGTGGGGATAGCCCTGAGCTGGGTAGTCCCACTTGGAAGATCTCAAAGGCTAAGCAGGGCCAGCCATGAAGGAAGTCTAGTGTTGTTCTGCTGAGGCAGGCCATGGCAAACCACCTCCGTTGGTCTCTTGCCTTGACCTGGGTGGCTTAGGCTAGCCCAATCATAAGAACAGAAGAGAAGCCAATGTTGGATCAGGCCACGGGCCCATCCAGTCCAACACTCTGTGTCATACAGTGGCCAAAAATACCAGGTGCCATTGGGAGGTCCAGCAGTGGGGCCAGGACACTAGAAGCCCTCCCACTATTGCCCCCCCCCCAAGCAGCAAGAATACAGAGCATCCCTTGCCCCAGACCGAGAGCTCCTATCTATTTTTGTTGTTCAGTCGCACAGTCGAGTCCGACTCTTTGCGACCCCATGGACCAGATCCCGCCAGGCCCTCCTGTCTTCCGCTGTCCTCTGAAGTTGGCTCAATTTCATGTTCGTTGCATCGATGACACTGTACCTTGTGGCTAATAGCCACTGATGGACCTCTGCTCCAGATGTTTATCCATAAGAACAGAAGAGAAGCCAATGTTGGATCAGGCCAGTGACCCATCCAGTCCAACACTCTGTGTCACACAGTGGCCAAAAATACCAGGTGCCATTGGGAGGTCCACCAGTGGGGCCAGGACACTAGAAGCCCTCCCACTGTTAAGAACATAAGAGAAGCCAATGTTGGATCTGGCCAATGGCCCATCCAGTCCAACACTCTGTGTCACACAGTGGCTAGAAATACCAGGTGCCATCAGGAGGTCCAGCAGTGGGGCCAGGACACTAGAAGCCCTCCCACTGTTGCCCCAGCACCAAGAATACAGAGCATCACCTGCCCCAGACTGAGAGCTCCTATCTATACCTTGTGGCTAATAGCCACTGATGGACCTCTGCTCCAGATGTTTATCCATAAGAACAGAAGAGAAGCCAATGTTGGATCAGGCCAGTGGCCCATCCAGTCCAACACTCTGTGTCACACAGTGGCCAAGAATACCAAGTCCAGAACCTAACAAAGGTTAGTTAAATGTAAGAAAGGGGGCCAATATTAAAAATTTAATGAAGGAAATATATAAAAAATACATGCTCTTTGCTTGAGGACAATTTGGCTCTACAACCATAGGAAGGCGATTCCTGGACCAGAAGTTTATATCTGAGAACCACTTGGCATGTGATTGCACTTTTAGAGGTCTCATTTGTACTTTTTACTCTGTGCCTGGTGGTTTTATCTTGAAACAACTTGCTTCTGGGTCCTTATTGAATTTATACTTTGTATTTATATGATTGTACTATATCTTTATAATAGCCAATATGTTCCTCACTATTGACCTCTGAGGAAGGCCTATGTAGGCCGAAACGCGTCAGGGCAGATTTATCAGCCCTTGTGTTTTATCGTTTGTTATTTATACATAACGTGTGAATGGGCTCTGGAGATTGGATTTATACCCCGCCCTTCACTACCCAAAGGAGTCTCAGAGCGGCTTACAAACTCCTTTCCCCTCCCCTCCCCACAACAGACACCCTGTGAGGTGGGGGGGGGTGAGAGAGCTCTGACAGAAACTGCTCTTTTTCAAGGACAGCTCTTATCAGAACTACGGCTTGCCCAAGGTCATCCAGCCAGGTGCAAGTGGAGGAGTGGGGAATCAAACCCGGTTCTCCCAGATTAGAGTCCGCGCACTTAACCACTACACCAAACTGACTGTGTCTTTTGGTCTGTCTGAGTGTATCTGTGTGTGCATGTGTGTGTTTGGACGTCCTCCAATTTATACCCTCAACATGAGAACGGGTATCCCTACTTTCTTGAGTGAGACTGTGGCGATTCCTTGTTTTATGTGTGTGTGCGTCTCTTTAAAAGTTTGGTTGCATAGCTGTGGTAGACTAGAGTGGTTGAAAGAGGCAAGTGTGGTGTGATTGGTGATTGACAGAGGGGGAGGGGTTTTGGAAGTGAAAATGAGTGGATGAGTATGTATGTCAGTCTAGAGTTTCAGTTACAGGTTTGACAGTTGAGAAGTTCAGTTAGTTCTGAGTTCTGTGTAAAAGCAGTTAACAGCTTAGAAAACAGTTAAGTTCTGTGTATGAAGGAAGCTAGAAGCAGTTCTGTGTGTAAGCAGTTAAGAACAGCTGAGGTTGTTCTGAGAGAATAGGAATAAGTAAATGAAAGTTAAATTGAAGAAAAGTTATAGGAAAGGCTGTATGTCCTGATAAACTGGAGAAAAACAGGGAACAAATATGACCTTGAGTTAAAGTGTTACAAAGTTACCTGAAAGATCCCTGTCAGTAAGGGAGCATATTGTGTGTGATACACCAAGCAATGGTTCATTAATTACACATTATTAGATACCTTGTTCTACCCTTTTATTTATGAATTATTTCAATAAATCCTCTTTTATTCAAATATACCAGCTCTGAAAGAAATACTTTCTCAGGACCACATAGTTCCCCATAAGCCTTGAACTCAGACTACCTAACCAGTAAGAGCAGAAGTAAAAGTACAAAGGTTTGGAAAGCCTTAAAATTTCCTGGTGGCAGCTGGATATACCCTAGTAGAACAAAATAAAGAGCACTTTTAAAGGGAAACCAGTCCTCCAGAATAAGGAGGGTGTCACAGAGACGTCTCATCCTTCTCAGATCTCTGATTCCTTGGATAGGTAAATATAGTCCCGTAAAATAAGTTCCCCTCTCTGTCCCTGTAAGCTACCACCTTTATTTTCTGAACTTCTATGTGTGTTTATAGAGTGCTCTTCAGTTGATAAGTTCTTGATTTTAGTCTTTAATTCTCTTTAATAAAAACCATTTCATTCATCACGGCCTGGTTCATTTTGAGAGTTCTACTGAGGGAAAAATCCCCATAAACGTAGGTTGGAGATCCTGTTTGATTACTTGCTTTCGCATTCTTTGGGTTTCCTGGCTAATTCCCCAACAAACTCAGGAGACCCTCACAACCCCTTAGGGTAACACGTCTCTGCAACAGACAGATCACATCTGAGGCAGGCAAGTTCGAATCAGGAGCAGGTGACCGTGGTAGGTGATCCGGGAGCGTAGGGGAAAGCGAGCGATCCATACTGGGAGTTTGACTGGCTTTGGCCAAGACAACAGAGTGTGCAGTCTTCAGAAGGTGACCCGGCAACCACTCACAGATGGGAGAACTTCTTGGACTCCATTAGGATGACCAAAGCTAACATCAGGGAGAGGGGAAACAAGAACAAAAAAAGAAAAAAGATGAACATCAGAAGAGCCCTGCTGGATCAGACCAGTGGTCCACCTAGTCCAGCATCTAGTCTCACACGGTGGCCAACCAGTTCCTCTAGAGGACCAACGACAGGGCAGAGAGGCCGAGGCCTTCATAAGAAAATCAGAAGAGCCCTGCTGGGTCAGACCAGTGATGGTCCCTCTAGTCCAGCCTCCTTTCTCACACGATGGCCAACCAGTTCCTCTGGAGGTCCAACAACAAGGCAGAGAGGCTGAGGCCTTCTCCTGATGTTGCCTCCTGGCACTGGGCTTCAGAGGTTGTCTGCCTCTGAATGTGGAGGCTCTCCTCAATCACCAAGGCTAGTAGTCACTGATGAACCCCTCCTTTACAAATATATCTAATCCCCTTTTAAAGCAGTCTATGCCTGTGACCATCACTACATCTTCCAGTGGCGGATTCCACCTTTTAATCACAACTAAAATGCATTTCAATCCCAATAGGATATAATCACAATTAAAATGCAATTCAGTCAGGAGGGACTAATGTCTATAGCCCAGCCAACTTATTTTACTGATTAGCAAAGTACTGTTGCCTAAATATAAAGGTATGATGCTGGCACCCAGGGGTCATTTCGTAGAAAAAGAGGTGCAGGAGCTCATTAGCATAACATTTGCATAGGCCACACCCCCTGACATCACCGGAAGTGTGTCAGAAGGCAACACCCACCGCTCAGGCTCCACTGGACTGTTTCGGATTGCTAGCTATTGGGGGGGGAAACGTGCAGATACTCATGCTCCTCGTGGCCGGGGCTGCTGGGAGGAGGGGGCAGGGCTTGTTGCATGTGCCCGCCCCCTGGGCTCTTTACTGCCGGAGCTGCGCTCCTGCAGGAAATGACCCCTGCTGGCGCCTAGAAATTTAACTCCAAAAGAAAATTCACAAAACCGCATCTTGAATTCAATATACTTTTACGCAAATATTGGTTCGCAGAGGAGTTCATGGGAGTCAAAAGAAGACGAAAAGATTTGGAAGAGTTTAAAAAAACAACAACACAGAAGGAATGTCTCCAGCTACAATTTGGGAAGCACGTAAATCTTTTATTAGAGGAATTCTACTAGCAGCTGCTGCTAAGAAGAAGCGAGAAAGATCAGAACAAACGCAGATAATAACAGTGGTACAGTGAGAGCTTGGCATGCAGAAGGTCCCAGGTTCAACCCCCGGCATCTCCACTTAAAAAGGACCAGGCAGGAGGTGATGGGAAAGACCTCCGCCTGAGACCCTGGCGAGCTGTAAAGAGGGGCTGTGGCTCAGTGGAAGAGCCTCTGCTTGGCATGCAGAAGGTCCCAGGTTCAACCCCCGGCATCTCCACTTAAAAAGGACCAGGCAGGAGGTGATGGGAAAGACCTCCACCTGAGACCCTGGAGAGCTGTAAAGAGGGGCTGTGGCTCAGTGGCAGAGCCTCTGCTTGGCATGCAGGAGGTCCCAGGTTCAATCTCCGGCATCTCCAGTTACAAAGGACCAGGCAGGAGGTGATGGGAAAGACCTCCACTTGAGACCCCGGAGAGCTGTAAAGAGGGGCTGTGGCTCAGTGGAAGAGCCTCTGCTTGGCATGCAGGAGGTCCCAGACTCAATCCCCGGCATCTGTGATGGGAAAGACCTCCGCCTGAGACCCTGGAGAGCTGTAAAGAGGGACTGTGGCTCAGTGGAAGAGCCTCTGCTTGGCATGCAGGAGGTCCCAGGTTCAACCCCCGGCATCTCCAGTTTTAAAAGGGTCCGATGAGGCGAAGGACTTTTACCTGAGGCTGTGAGACCAACTGTCAGTCACAGTAATGAGGGGACCCCAACCTAGGGTCTCCAGGCCAGGCAGGGGGTCCTTCGATTTTGCAGACTCCTCCCCATCGCCGGCCCACAAATGCCCCAAAACGTGGTGTGATGACATCACCCGGAAGTGACATCATTGCACCGCCAATGCCAAGGGGGCGACGCTCTAGGTTTTGGGCAAAACTCTACGGTAAAATTGGCTGCAAACGAAAGAGCTTGCCCAAAACCTCGGGCCGTTACCTCCCCCGACGTTGGCGACACTATGATGTCACTCCCGGGTGATGTCATCACGCTGCGTGCGCTTCGCATGCACAGCAAGAAGAAGAAGAAGAGGTTGGATTTATACCCCGCCCTTCACTCCCCGAAGGAGTCTCAGAGCGGCTTACAATCTCCTTTCCCTTCCCCTCCCCACAACAGACTCCCTGTGAGGTAAAAGAAGAAGAAGAAGAGGTTGGATTTATACCCCGCCCTTCACTCCCCGAAGGAGTCTCAGAGCGGCTTACAATCTCCTTTCCCTTCCCCTCCCCACAACAGACTCCCTGTGAGGTAAAAGAAGAAGAAGAAGAGGTTGGATTTATACCCCGCCCTTCACTCCCCGAAGGAGTCTCAGAGCGGCTTACAATCTCCTTTCCCTTCCCCTCCCCACAACAGACTCCCTGTGAGGTAAAAGAAGAAGAAGAAGAGGTTGGATTTATACCCCGCCCTTCACTCCCCGAAGGAGTCTCAGAGCGGCTTACAATCTCCTTTCCCTTCCCCTCCCCACAACAGACTCCCTGTGAGGTAAAAGAAGAAGAAGAAGAGGTTGGATTTATACCCCGCCCTTCACTCCCCGAAGGAGTCTCAGAGCGGCTTACAATCTCCTTTCCCTTCCCCTCCCCACAACAGACTCCCTGTGAGGTAAAAGAAGAAGAAGAAGAGGTTGGATTTATACCCCGCCCTTCACTCCCCGAAGGAGTCTCAGAGCGGCTTACAATCTCCTTTCCCTTCCCCTCCCCACAACAGACTCCCTGTGAGGTAAAAGAAGAAGAAGAAGAGGTTGGATTTATACCCCGCCCTTCACTCCCCGAAGGAGTCTCAGAGCGGCTTACAATCTCCTTTCCCTTCCCCTCCCCACAACAGACTCCCTGTGAGGTAAAAGAAGAAGAAGAAGAGGTTGGATTTATACCCCGCCCTTCACTCCCCGAAGGAGTCTCAGAGCGGCTTACAATCTCCTTTCCCTTCCCCTCCCCACAACAGACTCCCTGTGAGGTAAAAGAAGAAGAAGAAGAGGTTGGATTTATACCCCGCCCTTCACTCCCCGAAGGAGTCTCAGAGCGGCTTACAAACTCCTTTCCCTTCCCCTCCCCACAATAGACACCCTGAGAGGTAGGCAGGGCTGAGAAAGCTTTTGACAGAAATGGCTCTTTTTCGAGAACAGCTCTCATCAGAACTACGACTTGCCCAAGGTCATCCAGCCAGGTGCAAGTGGACTAGTGGGGAATCAACCCCGGTTAGAGTCCGCGCACTTAACCACTACACCAAACTGGCTCTCCCAAAAAACTCCCTTGTATGCCCCGTTGGCAAAAAGGCAGGACTTGGCAACCCCACCCCAACCATTTTGAGCATGTGGGCACCTTTGGGATTCTGACGGGAGTGGTGGGCACAGCCACAAAATGGCTGCCAGAGTTTCCTGTCAGTCACACAGTGAAGGTCTTTGTCCTGTGGTTGGAGCCGCTGCACAGCCGATCAAATCCCCAGTGGCCAATCAGAAGCCTTGCTTGGCAAAAGCCCCACGTGGCCCCACCCACATTCCAAAAACAGTTTTTGGGGTGTCGGCGGGTGCCACGGCAACCACAGGCACCACGCGGGGGATTCCTGAAGCACTTACCGGTGGCCTTGGCGTAAATGGTCTCCCCATCGGGGCTCCGCACGAGGCCAGATGTAAACATTTTCTTCCCTTCCACTCTCTCCACTTTGCTCTCCACCAGGACTACAGAGCCCAGGGGGATGGGGCTGCGGGGAGAAAAGACATTTTATTTATTTTATTTTTATTTGATTTATTTGATTTATATCCCGCCCTCCCAAAGGCTCAGGGCGGCTCACATGCGGCAAAGCCGAGGTATAAATTACAATAAAACATATAATAGAATACAATATTTAAAACAACAGTAAAAATCATCCTATAACACGGTGCTGAACCTATATAAATCTTCCAAGATGGGAACAGCCACCCAAATTTGGCGGCCAGCTATCTCAGTAGCGCGGTCTCCCGCTACGCTGTTCTGCCAGGCCAGGCCTGTCCCCCTTTAGTAGGGCAGCCGATGACACACTACCTCGGTGGTAGGATAGTGGTGGCGGCGGCTCCTACTCGAGCGCCTGGCGGAAGAGCTCCGTCTTACAGGCCCTGTGGAACTGCCTAAGGTCCCACAGGGCCTGGATCTCCTCTGGGAGCTCATTCCACCAGGTAGGAGCCGCCACCGGAAAAGCCCTAGCCCTAGTAGGAGCAAACTTAATCTCTCGGGGACCTGGAACTTCCAGGAGATGGAGGTTCACCGATCGTAGTGCTCTTGGGGGAACATACGGAAAGAGACGGTCCTTCAGGTAAGCCGGACCCTGGCCATTCAGGGCTTTAAAGGTAAGAACCAGCACTTTGAAGCGAATCCGGTATGCTATCGGCAGCCAGTGCAGCGCTTGCAGCCCAGGCCGAATATGGTCTCGCCTAGAGAGGCCCAACAACAGCTGCAGCTTCCGGATTTGTGACAGAGGCAGCCCTAAGTAGAGAGCGTTACAGTAGTCAAGGCTCGAGGTGACCGTTGCATGGATCACAGTGGCCAGGTCTTCACGGTCAAGGTAGGGAACCAACTACCGAGCCAGCCGCAGATGATAAAAGGCTGCCCTGGTTGGCCTGTCAGTACCCTCCGGCTTCCTGCCCCAAAGCGGAAATCCACCTCCTGTCCCCACGTGGAACTAAGGAACACACAAGAGCATCAGAACAGTAGTAGAATGGCCAGGACTGGACCTGAAGTTCTCCAGCAAGTCATTTCTATACGGGCAGCTGGTCAAGCTAGAAGCGAATCAGGAGCTGGGTTGACCTTGGCCAATGGTAGGGATGGATTGGGCCAGTTCAGCACTTGCTTATACGCATCATGAGGGCCTCTGTCTTTGGATCCCAACGGACCTTGAATGTAAACTCTGGGGAAGCTGGATAACTGGTAGCAAGCCAAGACAAAAGCTGGGGTATAAGTATTTTAATAAATAATTAAAATAAAGTGTAGAGAGAAGAAGAGATTGGATTTATACCCTGCCCTTCACTACCCGAAGGAGTCTCAGAGCAGCTTACAAACTCCTTCCCCTTCCCCTCCCCACAACAGACACCCTGTGAGGTAGGTGGGGCTGAGAGAGATCTTTCGAGAACTGCCCTTGAGAGAACAGCTCTGAGAGAACTTGTGACTGATCCGAGGTCACGCCAGCAGCTGCATGTGGAGAAGTGGGGAATCAAACCCGGTTCTCCCAGATTAGAGTCCGCACTCTAACCACTACCCCAAACTGGCTTTCCACAACTGGCTCACAACAGTAGCCAAGGCATTCCTTTTCCACAGTACAAGTCAAGCCATAACTGGTGTTCTAAGGGTTGCCAAAGGTAACTCATGGCATTTCTGCATTCTCATTTCCTTCACTTGTAAGTTCCTGTTTCTTAAGGAGGGGGGTGTTTCGTTCTGCACGTTTTGCTCCCTCTAGTGGTTGATTCAATATTACATTGTTTTACGTCAGTCATAAGTCAGTCGAGCGTATCCAGAAGAGGGCAACCAGGATGGTGAGAGGGTTGGAATCCAAGTCTTACAAGATAAGGCTGAAAGAGTTGGGTATGCTTAGCCTGGGAAAGAGAAGGCTTAGAAGGGACATGATTGCAGCCTTCAAACATTTGAAGGGCTGTCATGTAGAAGATGAAGCAGGTCTATTCTCTCCTGCTCTGGATTGCAAGACTAGTTCTAATGGGTGGAAATTACAAGGGAGTCGTTACCGGCTAAATATCAGGAGAAACTTCCTGACTGTAAGAGTGGTTGAGCAGTGGAACAGACTGCCTCGGCTGGTGGGAGATGTTCCTTCACTGGACATTTTCAAGCGGAGGCTGGACAACCATCTTTCAGGTATGTTGTAGGGCTATCTTTCAGCTATGCTCCTGCAGAGTGTAGGGGGTTGGACTAGATGACCTGCAAGGTCCCTTCCAACTCTAACATTCTATGATTCTATATCTCCTTGTAGCTTTAAACTGCAGGGTTTTATGCAGGGCATAAACAGATGTAATATCGAATCGACCACTAGGCGGAGCCAAACACACATACAACAGGAAAAAAAACACGCCAAAGAAACAGGAAGTTAGAAGTGAGAGAAAATGAGAATGTGGAAAAGTCCTTAGGGTGTCCTGGTTGGAAAATCCTCGAGATATGGGTGTGGAGCCTGGGGAAGGTGGGGTTTGAGGAGAGGACAGGCCTCAGCAGGGATGTGACGCCACAGAGTCCACCATCCAGAGCTGCCATTTTCTCCAGGGGCATCAGTATCTATCATCTGGAGATCAGCTGGCATGTCTGAAGGGACCTGGGAAAAAATGCTCTCCCTCTTAATTGGCCATCTTGTCTGTCCGGATCCAATACCAGTGTTAGCAGAGCACAAGAGGTACAGCATCATCTGCTCACTTCTTAAAGGTGATGTTGAGGTTAGCCATTAGAGCCCCGCCAACGGTCATGAACGCACACCCTATCAGGTTGTTGTCGAGAACGGTCGCGACGGAGCCCCCGTGCACAAAACTGGGAAGGGAAAAGAAACAGACCGTTACACAGAGATGAGGAGAATGAATACTCCTCATTCTAAGCATGGATTGGGGAAATGGTGGGCATCGGGGGAAATCAGGACCTTGTGGAGACACAGCTGGGTTTCAAGGGTTGGTTGGTTTGGAGACACTGAAGGAAGAAGAAGAAAAGACTGGATTTATACCCCGCCCTTCACTACCCAAAGGAGTCTCAGAGCGGCTTACAATCTCCTTTCCCTTCCCCTCCCCACAACAGACACCCTGTGAGGTGGGTGGGGCTGAGAGAGCTCTCTCTCGAGGACTGCCGTTGAGAAAACAGCTCTGAGATAACTTTGTGACTGGCCCAAGGTCACACCAGCAGCTGCATGTGGAAGAGTGGGGAAACAAACCCGTTTCTCCCAGATTAGTGTCCGCACTCCTAACCACTACACCAAACTGATAGAGGAAGAGGAAAACCTAGCAAAGTAGCAGGGACTGAAGAAGAAATGGATGTTACTAATATTCTTGGCAAAGAAATTAGTAAAACTAGAGTTGTCGGGCCAAACCCAGCAACTGGTGGGAGGGTTGGGGGCAGGTAGATGGTGCCAGGACAGCAGTGCAGGCAGGATGATGTCACTTCTGGGGGGGAACCCAGAAGTGAGGGTGGGTAGCTCTAGGAATCACAGGAAACTCTATGGTAAAATGGTTTGACGTAGAGTTTCAAGCGATTCCTAGAGCTACCTACCAACACTTCTCGTTTCCCCCGGAAGTGACGTTATCACACGTGCATCGCTGCCCCATTTTGTTTTCTGTTTTTTTCCCCTCAACACTGCTTGGAAATGGAAGGTCTGCATGGGGGGAGTTCTCTGCCCCGACTAGGGGTCAATGACATTCAGAAGTAAAATATCTCTTGAAGGTGGTGTAGATCCCCAATGGTGTCCAAAGGCCTTGAAGCAACAACGTAGGTGTGAATGAGGGAGCCAGGGACATAAAGAAATCTAGCAGTGCTCGTTGGCAACTCAGAGGCGAAACCTACTGTGTCGATAGTCAAGGAGTTCCCTGATTTCTCAATCCATACCCTGGAGGCCCTTCCAGATAAGGGCCTGGCTGGAAAAGGCACACCACCCGTTTCTCCGAGAGGTTGCAGAACATCACGTATTCAAATCCCAGACCTTCTGC